AGAGAGAGATAGAAACATCAATGATGAGAAAGAATCATTTATCGGCTGCCTCCTGCACACCCCCTAGTGGGGATCGAGCCCGCAACCCGGACATGTGCCCTTGACCAGAATCGAACCTGGGACCCTTCAGTCCCCAGGCCAACACTCTAACTACTGAGCCAAACCGGCTAGGGCTTTAGTTATAATTTTGATGTGGTTGTGGAAGGCAGCAAGTACTGGCATTTACCTGCGTCACTATCTTGGTTCACTCTTCGAATATTCTGTTTTTTATTGATTTTTTAGAGAGATAGAAACATGGCTGAGAGAGAAGCATCAATCAGCTGCCTCCTACACACCCCCTACTGGGGTTAGAGCCCCCAACCCAGGCATGTCTCCTGATGAGGAATCAAACCGGGGACCTCTTGGTTCGTGAGTCAGCGCTCAACCACTGAGCCACATTAGGAGATTTTTGATGGTTCTTTCAATTTCCTCACTGTTAGTCTATTTAGATTTTTCCAGTTCTATATGTCTGGGGACTTACTCATTTCTTTCAAGTTACTAAATTTGGTGGTCTATTTTAGTGTGATCCTCTGTGATGTCTGTGGTAACTTCTCTTTCATTTCTCATCTTGCTTATTTCTCTTTTTGTTCTGTAATGAGTGTAGCCAGAATTTGTCAATTTTGTTAATCTTTTTATATAGAGGCAGCTCTTTGTTGCATTAATTTTTTGTGTAGTGTTTTAGTTCTCCACTTCATTTTATTCTGCTTTAATTTTTCTTTTCTTCTGGAATTTGGGCTGCTTTTGTTCTTCTTTTTCTAGATCTTTAAGACTAATGTTGTTTACTTGGGATTTTTCTGTCCTGTCTTGACATAGGACAGTCACTCTTCTTTTTATTGCAGAAATCCTCCAGGATGCTTTGGGTCCTGGCTGTACTCCACTGTGCTTCACAGGAAGGTCCTTTCTCCAAAGTCAAAATGAGGTCCTTTCTCTTTTGTAGTACATGCTTAGTTACCTCACGTCCACTTCTCTGCAGATGTCTTTCTCAAAAGGTTTAGTTCCCATTTTCCACTCTGAGGTCAGCTAATGATGGTTGCATATGAATGACATGATGTTCTCTGCTCTGTCCTTAATAGGCCCCGTATACACCTTTTCTTACTGAATTGATGTACCAGAATCTTAAGATGCTGATTGACCCTGTTTCTGTCCAGGACAAGGACACACTCAGCATCCACTACCTCATGCTGCCCCGTGTTCGGTAAGAATCTAATACAGCCCTGGCCAGTTACTCAGTGGTTAGAGCATAGGTCGACACACCAAAGGGTAATGGGTTTAATTCCTGGTCAAGGTCACGTATCTGGGTTCCAGGTTTGATCTTCGGCCCCGGTTGGGGTACGTGCAGGAGGCAACATCTCTCACATCAATGTTTCTCTGTCTCTCTGTCTGTCTCTCTCTCCCTTTCTCTCTCTCTTCACTGCCTCTCGCTCCCTCCCTTACACTCCCTCCCTCCTCTTCCATCATCATATCTCTAAAAAGCAAAGGGAAAAATATCCTTGGTTGAGGATTAACAACAAGAAAAAAACAAACAAACAAACAGAAGAATCAAATAGATGTGAGCCTCACCGGGACCATGGGAAGGGAAGTTGCCAAAGATGCACTGGTGTGGGGGCCCTAGCTGTCCCCTTGGTTCCGTGCCTCTCACCTGAGCTGCTCCTAAGGGTACAGAATAGGTAGAAATGGGGATGCTCAGTGTGAAACCACTTATAGTGCTGCAGCACGTGTGCTGTGACCAGGTTGTTCGAGTCACCTAGGGGAGCTGCTGGGTACTGACCAGGAGACTCTAGCTTGCCGCCTACTTCTTGCCATGTACCCCCAAGGCCAGTGCACGCTGTCCTTCCCCAAGTGCCTCACCAGTAGGCCTAGCCACACCATCATATCTTTAACCTGTCCCTCTTTCTTATGTAGGCATGCCTATTGTTTGGGATTTTTTCCTTTTTTTTTTTTTTAAAGACAATGTGATTTATTTATAAATGAGAACAAATTAACAATGAACACTTTCAGAAGTTGAAAAAGGACACCAACAGTACTAAATACCTAGGCTTTTAATTTTCTTCAAATTCGGAGTTTTAATTATACAAAGATGAGTAGTCAATTATGTAACCTAAAAATATTTACTTATTAAACTATATTAACACTTTCAATAAACTATACAAAAAGATAATGAGACAAACATGTGCATTTATAGAATTGCATGTCAGTCATGCCAGATCCCTGTGAGGGAATTCCCAACACGACCTCATTCGTCTGTGAGGACACAGAGTAATTCTTGTTTAGACATACACATTCATTTACTTGTCCAGCCTGGTCAGCCCTCCACTGCTTGATGGTTTCCTTCCGCTATGAATGTGCATGTCCAGTCGTCTGCTTCTTAGGGCAGACATTTACCTTCCTCATCCACCAGCCATTGGAGGAGGACTGGGCCATGCAGATGATTAATTCGACCCATTCTTCTGGGAGGGTTTCCTGGGGGCCCTCTTCCATCATCATATCTGGAATCAGATGAGTTTCCATAGCCTCTTCCCTTTTTCACATCTTGCTGAAGCAGAGTTTTGAAAAACAAAACTACGAACTCAGCTATTTCCCAGAAGACATCTGTTATCAAAGATAATCTCCATGGAGACTGACTCCTGCTGTCCAACACTTGTCTGTTCACGATGTAGACCATCTTGATCCTCGTTCCCCTCCTCCCCGGGATTTTTTCCTTTAAATTTAATACCTTTTATTTCCCCGCTTCTTCTAATCAGAGAGGAATTGATTGACAAGAAAACTGAGAGTGCAGTATCTAGAATGCAGTCTGTGATTGAACTTGGGCGAGTGATTCGTGACCGCAAAACTATTCCAATAAAGGTTTGAAATTTTATTTATTTTACATTGCACAGACCTAAATAATTATGTCTTTGAGTATTTTCTTTGTATAGAGAGCTTCCAGCAATGGCAGTTTTTATTCATTTCTACAGTAAGGGTATGAATGACTTAATACAAGTTGAGCCTAGTTATTCTTTGAACCTGACATTAGATTAAAACATTTAATGTTCCATTTTTCTCTGGTTGTGAGGACTGGCTGCTTAGTGAACTTATTCTTATCTTTTCTTCCTAGTATCCTTTGAAAGAAATTGTCGTTATCCATCAAGATCCAGAAGCTCTCGGTGATATCAGATCTTTGGAGAAGTATATTATTGAGGTAAGGCATGTGATTTGTCCCTGGGTCTAAGCAGACTTCTTTCATTGAGAAGATTATTTTGATTAGGACTCTCCAATAAACTACACTTTGAGTGTATAATTTATCCTTTTTTATTTTTTATATACATAATTTAACTCTGAACATTTCCTTGCTGCTAAGAATCATCATCAATTTTCACATTGTTATTTTAATTCTCTATAAATTATGTCAAGGTTGTCCTTGCAGCTCAGTGGTTAGAGTATCGGCCTGCGCACCAAATGGTTGTGGGTTCAATTCTCCATTCCAGGTCGAGGGCACATACCTGGGTTGTGGGTTTACACCCCACCCCTGGTCAGGTTGTGTGTGGGAGGCAACCAGTTGATGTGTCTCTTGCATCGATGTTTCTCTCTCTCTCTCTCTCTCTTCCTCCCTCCCACTCTCTGAAAAGTAATGGAAAAAAATATCCTAGGTTAGGATTCACACAAACACACAAAAAGATTTCAAGGTCAATTAATTTCCTTGCCTTAATTGGATCATTTATACCTTCATCCACTTCTCTTCCCTAAAGTACTTGCTGATAATTAACAAAAAAAACTTGGTTCCTTCAGATTATCTATGTGACAAGTGAACATGTGGTTTGTAAACAGTTCAAGCTCTGACATAGTCCTTCATATCCCATTTGCTCCCTGCACTCTCACCCCTCCTAAGCCTGTTCACTAGGCTGTCTTCTGCCAGGGTTGTTCCTAGCATTTTATAGACCTATTCACACAGTAAAGTGCATCTCAGGTTAGAACATACAGATGTACTTTCTTCTTTTTACAGCTGCATCATGTTCACTTTCTGGCTGTATCATAATTACTGTCTCTCCTATTGTTGGAAATTTAGGTTTCCCATTACAAACAAAAGGTTTGTGTGTATCTTTGTGCCTGTGTCAGAGTATGGACCTTGAATAGATTGCTAGAAGGGAAGATTTGAAGTCAAGAGTTTAACATATTGTCAGTTATCCTGTAAAAAGGTTTTATTCCATGATGATTTAAAAATATATATATCATATTGTAGAAAATCCTATATAATAAAAGCCTAATATGCTAAGTGTCCAGTCGTCCATTCAACCAATCAAAGCGTAATATGCTAATGATGTGCTAAGGCCACTCAACCACTCACTATGACATGTGCTGAACACCAGGGGGCAGACGCTCAATGCAGGAACTGCCCCCTGGTGATCAGTATGCTCCCACTGGGGGAGCGCTGCTCAGCCAGAAGCTGGGCTCACGGCTGGAGAGTGCAGTGGTGGTGAGAGTGCCTCTGAGGCAGCGCTAAGGAGCAGGGAGCAGTTGGGCAGTAAGGAGCAAGGGCTCCCGGACTGCGAGAGGGCACAGGCCAGGCTGAGGAACCAGACCTCCCAGAGTGCACAAGTTTTCGTGCACAGGGCGTCTAGTATTATAATATTTACTAGGGGCTCAGTGCACGAATTCATGCACCTTGAAAGGAACTGTGGGCCATGAGGCTGCAGTGGGCACAGGGGCAGGTCTCTGCCCATCCTCCGCGCCACTGCCTGATCCCTCTGCCGTGGCCCTCCAGTCCCCTGTCTGAGGGCATCCCCGCTCCTGCTGTCCCGCTTACACCTGCTGACAGCACGAAGAGATTGGGGCCGGTGCCAGCAGCAGGTGTGAGCGGTGGCTGCTGCCCCAATTGCCCCTCAGGAGCAGGGGGAGGTGGAGAAGCTCTCAGGGGTGATCAGGGCCGGCAGCCGCCACTTACACCCACCGACGGTGCCAGAGCTTCTGCTTGCGTTCACTGCCAGCACTGGCAGCAAGTCTGAGCACCGGGCGGGACTGTAGCACGTAGGAGCAAAGAATTTTCAGAAACCACCATAGGCTTGCCCTGATGACAGTGACCAGTGCCCCACCTTGGTCTGGCGCCCCTGCTCACCTGCTCCACCATCCAGCCATGGCCAATGCCTGCCTTGTTCTGTGCATGCCCGCTCGTGGTCAGCACACATCATAGCAACCAGTTGTTTGGTTATTCAGTTGTTCGCTGTTCGGTTTATTTGCGTATTAGCCTTTTACTATATAGGATACTGGTTTTGAATTGCTAGAGAATTACAGAAAAATATTAGAAAGTAAAGAGTTATAAATTTTGTAAGTAATGCTTGCAGATGTGGATAAAAATAGAATATATTTAAATAGAACGTCTTAATCACTATAATAAGGTCATGTAACACAGTTATGTGTAATGGGAAAACTAGACACTTCCTTACAATTTGCTTCAGTCACATTTTCTGTGCTGTCATCAGCTCCTGTTGCATTAGTGATGTTGAATAGCTTGATGGAGGCATGAAATGTTTTGGTTAACTGATTCTGCTTATTGGTTAACATGTGGTGCTCTGAAATGGCTTGAGCAAAGGTTACCTACCCTTGAGAGATACAACCTTTTTCTAGAGTTGTTTTTAGTTGATTTTATGCTCAACTATTTTGACTGAGCAGGACAGGAAACGTGTTTTTTATACCTTTCATTTCAGTGGTTTTTAGTATGAATTTATAGAGTTGTGCAACTAGTCACCACAATTTTATAACATTTTCATCGCCACATAAAGAAGTCCCATATCCTTTAAATTAATGCACCATTTCTCCTCAACATTCCACCATCCCTGTCAGCAACACACCTGTTTTCTGTCCCTGGACATTTCCTATAAATAGAATCATATGATACACGGTCTTTTGTATCTGACATCTACTTTATTCATGTTTAGCATGAATTAGTGCTTCATTTCTTTATATTTAATATTTAATAAGAATCCATTGTATGGATAGACCACATTTTAAAAATATATATATATATCTTTATTGATTTCAGAAAGGGAGGGAGATGGGGAGAGAGAGAGAGAGAAGCATCAATGATGAGAGAGAATCATTGATAGGCTGCTTCTTGCATGTCCCCTATTGGGGATTGAGTGCACAACCCGGGCATGTGCCCTTGACCAGAATTGAACCCAGGACCCTTCAGTCTGCAGGTCGACACTCTATCCACTGAGCCAAACCAGCTCAGGCTGGATAGACGACATTTTTTTATCTGTGTTCACAGTTGATGGATATTTGAGGTCCGCTTTTTGTTTAGTGAATAATTTTATTGCTGTCAACATTTGTTTGTCTATTTTGTTGTTGTTAATCTTCATCTGAGGATATTTTTCCATTGATTTTTAGAGAGTAGAAGGGAGAGGGGGAGAGAGGGAAAGAGAGAGAGAAACATCAATGTGAGAGAGACACATTGACTGGTTGCCTCCTGCACGTACCCTGACCAGGGCGGGGGAACCTGCGATCAAGGTACATACCCTTGACCAGAATCAAACCCGGACCCTTCAGTTTGCAGTTCAATGTTCTATCCACCAGCTCAGGCTGGATAGACAACATTTTCTAAGCTCTGTTCACAGTTGATGGACATTTGAGGTTGTTGTCCACTTTTTGTTCATTGTAAATAATGTTACTGTCAACATTTGTGAGCAATTTTTTGACATTTGTTTTATTTCCCTTGTTTTTTCATCTTGTCTACCAATCATAGGAGTTGAATGTTCAAAAAGTTACACTGTCTACAGATAAAAACAAGTATGGTATTCGCCTAAGGGCAGAGCCAGATCACATGATCCTGGGGAAGCGGCTGAAGGGAGCCTTCAAGGCAGTGATGACGTCCATCAAGCAGCTGAGCAGTGAGGAGCTGGAGCAGTTCCAGAAGCGTGGTGAGTGTCGTGGATGGAACCTTGGCTCAGGGAGGCTTCTGCTTGGCATTCACTGTCATAAACTTCAAGAAAAACGTTTATTAGAAATAATTCTGATAATTTAGAAAAACTTAAAGAAGGCAATAACAATGACCCCGAACTCATCATCCGTTCATGTAATGTAGATTCAGTGCCTTTTCTCTGCTGTTTAATATGTTAGGTGCAGCCCTAGCCAGTTTGCCTCAGTGGGTAGAGCGATGACCTGCAGACTGAAGGGTCCTGGGTTTGATTCCATTCAAGGGCACATGCCTGGGTTGTGGGCTCGATCCCCAGTAGGGGGCGTTAAGGAGGCAGCTGATCCATGATTCTCTCTCATCAGTGATGTTTTGTTTTGTTTT